AAATGTTTTTGCCTTGTTTGCAAGTTGAGGCAACGTTCTGCCTTTTTTTTCTGGGAACTGGTTGTCCTTTCTTGAGAGTAAGAGAATGATTACAAATACTGAGCAAAGTTAAAATGTTATTGGTATGGCTGTTAATAATGAATTCCCAGTGCAAACACTGCTCTGATCTTCTGCTTCCTGTCACCTTTACTGGGGCAGGAAATAATAAATTGGAGGCACTGACTGTGCTATTTTGTTTGGGGATGCTTTTGCATCCATTTGAATTTATCTTTATCTTAGAGTACTTATCAAGGGAGACCCAGTATGGTGTAGTGGACTGAGTGTTGGACTATGACTCTGGAGAACAGGGTTCAAAACTCTGTTTAGGCATCACAACCCTCTGAGTGACTTGGGGCGAGTTATATACCCCCAGCTTCAGAGGAAGGCAAAGGTAAAGCCATCCAACAAATCTTGTCAGAAAAACCCCATGATGGATTGCCCTTAGGGTTATAGCTTGGAAATGAGTTGAAGGTCACAATAACAACACTTTACAGCATCTGATTCCCAGCAGCCAACCAAAGGCTATGCTAGTGATAAGCTTGCAAATGCTGTAATGAGAAGTAAAATTAAAAGCAAATGGAATTGATTTAGAGAATTTGAATAGATGTAGTTTCTATAGCTCAGTGGATATAATTTGTAGCCTTTATTCTGTCAAATTCCTGTTCCCAGTGTGAAGGTTCTTGCAGTATAAGGCCGTTTGATTTGAGAGAGAAACATTCTTGCTTATTGATTCTGGATTTTTCATCATTGCAGTGTCTTGTTATTTTCATGTTACTGAGCAACAAACCAAGTTTGTCATCTATATCAATTGCTGTTCTTTCATCAAGTGGTATTTTAGCCTCCTGACAACCAGTGAGATATGTTAGATGGTGATGGCATTATTTAACTCTTGCTTCAGTCAAAGCATAGGCCCAAAATGTCACCCCATGTTCTGGCAAGAATTATTCCTTCTCAAACAGTCTCACTCAGGATAGTCAAATATCCTATATTACAAAGGAAATGCTGTCAAAGGGCAGTTCTGTGTTAAGAGATGTCCTGTATTTTAGATATGTGAAATGTCAGGTTGAACTAGGTAGAATCTGCCCCTCCCGGATGCTTGTTCTGGCCATTTAGGGCTCTCCAAGTGGTCATGCCCTCTTCTCTGCAACACTTTCTCACAGCCATTTGGTGGTTTTGTGAAATCCCCACCACCACCATTCTGAAATATCAAAATGGCTCCTCTAAGACTTTATTACTAAAAATAAGAACTTTAAAGCAAAAGTATGCTGTATTTTTCACATAGGCCTCTTTTGTCTTTGGGCTCACCCATATTCCACATTTCCTGGAATGTGACACATGAGAACTTCTTTGAATTCAACCCTCAGGCGGAAACGGGTTGCCACCTCCACTCTATTTAAAGCCATCTAGTACCAGTTGTGAAGACAACCCTGTGAAGGAAGAACTGGGACCTTGAAATTGTCTATCCGTGTTTAATCACTTGAACAACAGGCTCATAAGGCATGCAGGTCACCTGATCATATTCTTCCCCAGTCTGCTGAGATGTATTGTAGCTCTATGCCATTGTTATTGTTACTGTTGTGTGCCTTCAAGTGGTTTATGACTTGTGTCGATACTATAGAGTTTCATTGCCTATATTTAGTCAATGGGGGTCTACCATTGCCTTTCCCTGAAGTGGGGAGTGTGATTTGCCCAAGGTCACCAGTAGTTTCCATGGCTGAGCAGAAATTCGACACCTTTGCTTCCCACAAACAACTACGCCAGTTCTTTCTAAATGTCCACGTACACTTAAAAGTACAATTAAAGTATGCATTTTTACCTAAATAGCATAAAGCCACATACTGTTGGGAGCTAGATAAGGTGAGCTCTGGTTAGTATTAAGATGGGAGACCACCAACACATACCACATATTGTAGGCGTTGTTTCAAAGGAAAGAATTGACAAAGCCACCTCTGAATATTCCTTGCCTAAAAAAACAGCAACTTGAAGGCACACACACTTCTTTGCCCTCCCTGTCTTCTTCCTCCATGCCTTCCACACTTTCTTGTATATCTCCACACCCATATATTGAAGATACATGGGATATATCCTTTCTCATATATTGCTTAGAGTCTATCTGCCTTCCCAGCCATCAGTTTATTTTAGTATGAATATTTGAAGTTTGTGGCTTCCAACACATAAGTAAAGAAGCAGCATCCAGATTCTCAAAAGGGGTAAATTTGACATAATCTCCACATGCCCTGTAATCCAGTGGATATTTCTCCTTCCTCTTTAACCTTTGCCAGTTTTTCCATTTTATCTTAATATAATCCCTTCCTGTGTAAAAGTTAAACCCTGAGAACACAATTGATTTAATCCCTTTTGTTATCAGATTCTTCCCTTGTAGTCCTCATTCTATTTTACAGATGCTCATTTGTGGACTTGTCACATGCAAAAACATATTTTTCAAGATAGCAGGGATTCTCCCTTTGATTTGACTTGTTTGTAGTTTGAACTTGGTAGAGCTTTTCAGTGTGAATTGGCTGCCATTTATGCTCACTTCATAGGACGGCTCGATGTTAGGGATGGAACATGGTTCTAATGGAGGGAGCTTTAGCTTGTTTTTAAGAATATGCGGAAACCAAGAAATGCCCATTTTGTATAGTTTCTGTAGCCTAGATAGTTCAGGTGTGTTTTGGGGGCTTTCCAGATTGTATTGTGTGTGTGTGCCAGATAACCTTTCACATCAGTTGGGGTGATTTGTGACTCATTTGTTCAAGACATCTGACAAAAAAAAAATCTACCAAGTGGTTGTTATCAAGACTTTAAAATTTGTTTAATTCCAGAGGTTCAGTGATGCTAAGTTTATGTTTGTGTAACCTTACTGACACACTAGGTGTGCCTCTCATTTTTTTAAAAAATGGTAGTTGCTGTAGTAGTATCATGTGCCACATTGTGTCTGCAAAGGGTTAGTTTTAAATACTATCTGATGCGGAGGCATCAGATGAATAAAAGTCTACAGTATTCCCCCACTTATTGTGGGTGTTACTTTCCAGGACTACCTGTGAAAAGTGAAAATCCATGAAGTAGGAATGCTATATATATATAGCATTCCGAGGGTGAGGCAAAAGCAAAGAGAGATTTAAAAGCACCGCGCACCTATTTTTCTTTTGGCTAACTATAAGGAAGGGGCTATAAGGCTGTGATTTACATACTGCTTTGTATCTCCTCTCTCTCTTTTTTATGATTGGCTGCCTCTCTCCCGAGGGGGAGGATGAAACCCCCTTCCATACTCCATCGTTGTCAGAAGGCAAAAACCTGCAAAATAGCGAGTCCGTGAAAGCGAAACGCGAAGTAGTGAGGGAACACTGTAGATACATATATAGTGAAGGGTAGATTCAGCAACTCTTCTTTTCCCCACTTATTTCCAAGGAGTACCCCACTGCTTCCGACCCTTTTTCTTTGTGTACAAGGAATGGGCAGAATATATATCTTATCTTTCACATGGACTAACCCAGTATCTTTCTGGGTTAAAACAGCAGTTGGCCTTTACGGTGGGGATAAATTTATCTTACAGTGTCTTTTCTCACTCCATCTGCAGTTTATTTAAAACTAGTTTGGTACCAAGGACTATTGGCAAAGGAAATATTTAATATTTAATGAAATCAGTACAGTATAAGTATCTTAATTTCACCCTGAAATGATAAGAAATTTATGCCGGAACAAAGCTGAAAAGACTGTTAATTCCTAAAAAATAAGCAGCTGTGATGTTTTGCTTAACAGGTCCAGTTGGTGTTATATCTGGAGACTATATCAAACAATATATGGAGGGAAACTGGGTTTACCATATAAAGTGGACATTCAAAACAACTATTTGCAACTATATGAGCCATGTGTTTTCAAATGTGCACCATGTTCACTTATTTTATGGTTTAATCCATGGATACAGAATCTGTGGATATGGGTGGTTGGCTGTAACGGATTCTGCTTTACTCCTGCCTTTTGTTCTGAATGTTTTATTTCTGTGTTGTTATAAAAATAAACAGTACTTATGACATTGACAATGTGAATAATGTTTTAGCTATATGAAGGTCAGTAATCAATGTCTATGTCATCATTCTGACACATCTTCACTGAACCTGTTTCCTTGCAGTTTTATTGGACTACATTTCCTATAATTCCATAGGAACATGGTTGTGGGACTATGGACTTGGAGTCCAATATGCCTGAAAGAAAACAGATATGGGTTGGCTTCTGTAGCACCTCTGCACTTTGTCATCTGTCTACCTTACTGGGAGTTTTGACATATTTATGCTTCCTATTGTTTGGTAAGGCGGTTTAACAAATCTACATGTTCTCACATTCATGACTTACAAACCTCATGACATGTATAAGTAGTTGGGGAGCTATAGCTTGGAACAGTCAGAATGGCTGAAGATCTTTAGAAATATGAAAATGTGGATGTGAGAAACTATAGGCAGAGTAGTTGATGGAAACCAGCTCTTATGCAGATCTCCCTTTTGGAAATGAGAAGAGTTATATGATCTCTAGGTAATCCTGAAAGGCTACGACTACTGATGCAGTAAATATGTAGACGGAACAGAAAGACTGGTTCATGTTTCTTTGCAAGGTGTTAAATGTTTCAAAAGCATCTAGGTGTCACTCCAGGACATTTAAATTGAACATACAACTTCTGCTTCAATTGGGCCAAGTAGACTGTGAGAATGATAGTGTCAGTAAAATTACTGAGTGGAGCTGGCATATTTTTCTTTGCACATTCTTGATGAAAGTCTGAACAGGACTTCTTAGCTAAAGAGATCTGAGCATTGGGAGGAAATGCTTCTATATGAATACTAAGCATGCCTATTAACATAGTTGGTATATATTTACCAGTTTATTGTGGTTTGTGCAATCTTGCAAGACTTGCAGAGGTCTGAAAGATGAGTATTTTAGTTTCCTAAACATCCTGTTTTTCATTTCCACAGCGGATCGTTGTAAAGAGGTGCAGCAGATCCGAGAACAGCATCCAAACAAAATTCCTGTGAGTATGAAACTTTATATACACCTTTATACAAATGTCCATGAATTCTTCTGCTGCTGCTGCCACTGCTGCCGCCTCCTCCTCCTGATCTTCTTCTTCCTCTTCCTCTTCTTCTTCCTTCTCCTCCTCTCCTCCTTCTTTTTCTTCTTCCTCCTCCTCCTCTTCTTTTTCTTCTTCTTATTTATTTATTTATACCGCACTGTTTCTTTTCACAAGGATAGAAACAGCTGTGTCCTGTGTGCCATACTTCTTGTACCTGAAGACCAGCCTACTAATGTTATTCACCTTTCTTCTTACACTGACACTTTGTACATCTTACTCACTATTTTTAGTGATTAGAGATACCACTTCGTTGGCTGTTGTATTATTTTACAACAGAACTGGTCAGTCTCCAGATTCAGAGGGTATACTCTCTTTTAAATAAAATTCTAAGGGTATATTAAGAGTGTTGTTGTAAGTTTTTTGGGTTATATGGCCATGTTCCAGAAGTATTCTCTCCTGACGTTTTGTCTGTGTCTATGGCAGGCATCCTCAGAGGCTGTGAGGTCTGTTGGAAACTATGAAAATGGGGTTTATATATCTGTGGAACTCCATTTTTTTCTAGTTTTCAACAGACCGCACAACCTCTGAGGATGCCTGCCATAGATGCAGGTGAAACTTTAGGAAAGATTGCTTCTGGAAAATGGCCATACAGCCTGGAAAACTCACAACAACCCATTGATTCCGGCCATGAAAGCCTTTGATGGTACATTAAGACTTTGGAATTATTGCAGTATGATGCCACTTTAACTGACATGGCTCAATGCTATGGAATCCTGGTGGGTTGTAGTTTTACAAGGTCTTAACGTCTGCCAAAGAGTGTTGACGCCTCACCAAACTGCAAATTCCATAATTCTATAGCATTGATGCATGGCAGTTAAAATGGTGTCAAACCACATTAATTATACCATTTAGAAAGATGCATCATTAGTTTCTCAGACTACAAAGCAGTCTCCTCTTTTCCTACTCACTTCGCTGGAACAAAAGGACAAAGATAGAATGCAATAATCCCCCCCACCTCCCGCATGTGCAAATTACAAAATATTGAGTCAGAAAAATCATTTTGCTGATTTTTACTTGTATACAAAGCAACCCCAGGTTTCTTTAAATGGTCAGAAAAATTGGGACTATTAAAAATGTAGGTGTGGTACTGTGGTTTTCCTTCATCCAAATTACACATTAGTTTGTTTGACCCAAAAGTTGTAGAGTTGCAAATGTTGACTAACTTGACAATCTTCAAATTGGCTTTTAAAAATGGACTTAGGGTTCTTCCAGACAGGCCCTATATCCCAGGATCTGACCCCAGGTTTTCTGCTTTAACCTGGATTATATGAGTCCCCACTGCCAGATAATCTGGGATAAACAGAAAACCTAGGATCAGATCCTGGGATATGGGGCCTATCTGGAAGGGCCCTTAGACTGCAGCACAAAAATGGTTCAGAGAGCAAAAAGGTAACTTTGTAGGTAGTTTGATTATTCTCAGAATACAGTACCTTTTGGTATTTTAGTTGAAATCTGAATTGTGTGTGTTGACATTGTCTTTATCCTCCCTTTTCTTTTCCCTTCCTTTTTAAATTTCCAAATCTTTCCCTCATATGAGCATTCAGGGTGTCACCTGGTCTGCCCTATAATCTGTTTACAGCTCTAGCAATGTTAGACACCTTCTGTTCTGTATCAGAAATGTATCGGTTATTAAATTATCAGCACATCATTCTATTGGATTAGGCCTAACTGAATGCTTGGAATTTAGTGCTTTGATTTTATTTTGCTTTGTTCTCTCAAGTTGTCTTCAAATACTGTGGAATTGACTTCGTTATAATGAGATAGTTGTTGTTACTGGATAACAAAAGTTCTTCAGAGTCATTCTGGATATTCTAAAGAAGTGGAATTGATTGACTTAAACCAAGCGCAGGATGGTGAACAAGATAGGCTTTTGGTCAGAACCAGGAGGCATGTTCCTGTCTCTAACATGTTTCAGAGTTTTGGAAAGTTTATTGTCAGCACGTTTTCTAAGCTTACATGTTATGTGAAATATATGGTATTAATTTCTTAACTGTTGATAAATTCTTGCCATGGTTGAGCATCTCAGTTTTCCTTGCCACTCCTGTGTTTTTCTTATCTTTTCACCTTCTCTATTCACTTATTAGCATCTCCAACCTGTTCAGCTCTAGGTCTTTATGCACTAGATTTATGCCTTTTGTGCATTAGTGTGGATGCACTACATTTTTTCTTGTATATCATCTGGGCTGTCAGTTGCTTGATGTGAAAGGAAGCAGAGATAGTCACTGCTGCTTAGAATGGGACAAGCACTTGATTTTGTGGTGACTTTACTAAGAGGGTGAAAAAAGTGATAGAATCATAGAGTTAGACTGTACCTATCCTGTTCTTAAAAGAAAACCACCAAGTTTTGTACCAAGAAAAGCAACAGAAATCGCTACCTTTGCAAATTAAGCAAACCTCAAACACAGGAAGGTCTCAAAACAAGGAAAACCTCAACGAGAAATAACAGAAGAGGGCAAAACATCTCTGTTTTATATTTACTTTTTGTTATACTCTGTTTACTATGATTAATTTCTACACCATTCAGAATCTTTGAAGTCTGGATATTCTATCTATTGGATAATTATGGAAAATGCTATTATCTCACTACTGATGAAGATTAATTGAAACAGCTACAAATTTCCAGGAATTCTTCATTGCAGCTTCATAATATTTTGCCAATGATATGTGACTTGTGGGTTGTATACAGTTGTCCTTTATACAGAACTGGAACGGATTGTAGTATGATTGTGACTCCATTGTTCATCATGAACTTCCATATTTAGGTTTAAATTATAGTTACGATGCAGCTGCCCTTTTATTCATTCTGCCCTCCACATTTGCAGTTTTTACTTTTATGGATTTGATTATTCATGGATTTTATCCAGGGATCCCTAGGTCTTTCAGTGGAAGTTTACTAAGGTAAAGGTAAAGGTATCCCCTTGACATTAAGTCCTGTTGTGTCTGACTCTGGGGGATGGTGCTCATCTCCAGTTCTAAGCCGAAGAGCCGGCGTTGTCTGTAGACATCTCCAAGGTCATGTAGCCAGTATGACTGCATGGAGCGCTTTTACCTTCCCGCAGAAGCAGTACTTATTGATCTACTCACATTTGTATGCTTTCAAACTGCTATGCTGGCAGAAGCTGGGGCTAACAGCAGGAGCTCACACCGCTCCCCAGATTGGAACCACTAACCTTTCAGTCAGCAAGTTCAGCAGCTCAGCGGTTTAACCCGCTGTGCCACCAGAAGCTCCTGATAGTTGACTAGAGTTTAAAATTTAATCTCATTCTTGATTTCAGTAAATGTGTAAGGCTGAATGTATTTCATTGCCTATAGACTTTAGCTGATCTGCACCGTTTGTATTAAGTTGTCCTTCTCATATATACATTTAAAGTATTTAGTTACAGTGTTTGGTATTATTCTGCTTTGTATCATTTTGAAGTTTATTACTGTTTATGTTATTCTACATTATATTGTTTTCAGTGGTTGGTTATTGTTCACATTCAATTGCTTTGAGGCTTTTGTTATTCTGTGTTCTATATATTTTTATCCATATTATTTATTATTACATTCCCTTTTTTGTTTCATTGTTTGGATTCCCCCTCTTCTGCTAATGTTTCCTAGTTTGTGTTTTGCAGTTTAAGCAAATTTGTATTATAATCTTTAGTTTTCTATTATTCCACTTCTGCATATCATCACTTTTAAAGAACCAACAAGAGGGATCCATTAATGGATCTTTTGAAACCAGCTGAGGTTATCTTCTTGTCCTCATTTCTTTATTACAGTAGGGTATTTTAAATATATTATGTTTTAACCTTGTTGACTGGGCTTAGCCCCATGTAAGCTGCCCTGAGTCCCTTTGGGGAGGTGGAGGCAGGGTATAAAAATAAAGTTCTTCTTATTACTATTCTATTATTTTGTTGTACTGAAATTGCAGTCCTTGGCTGACTACATTTTGAAAGGGTAGGTAGAACCGGATGGACCTTGATGTGATTTGTTAAGGTCACTTCTTAAATTACAGGTAAGATGTGTGCCAACAGAGATTAGAACATGAATCACTGGAGTCAAATTGCAACAAAATAAATTCCACGTAATCAAAAAAAGAACATTTTGATGATAAGACTTTCCTGGGAGATAATGAACTTGCCTTCTTTGGAAGTCTTTAAATAGAAGTCAGATGGGCCTCTCTTAGGAAGCCTTAGTTTTGTATTCCTTCATGGAAGGGGATAGGACGAAATGGCCTTGTGGTCTCTTTCAATTATAACCACTGTGAAGTAAATGTTCCAGTGGAAAAAGCTCAATCTCAGTCATTCTCAGCCTGGATTTCTGACATGATATGCTTTCGTGCTACTGGCCAGGGATGATGATAGATGTGGTACTGCACTATTACAGCACCATTTGTTATTGCTGGCAAAATAGTAATTGTCACTTCTCCCCAATTCCCTAATGAGATCACAGTGTGCATGGGGCTTAAATGAGCAGTAGCACTGGTGTGAACGGTGACAGGGGCATAAATCGATGCCCTCAATCTCCCTGTCATATTTTGTGACCTTCTTTCTTTGCCCATTATTCTTGACATTAAGTTTGCATGCTGTACACCTTCACCACAAAGAATGTTGGGGTGCAAAGAAACAGTACTGAGGTCAAGCCTTAAATTAGATCTGGACTCATGTGAGGTATGCCCTGCCTAGCAAAGATCCTATTAAATCTCAGCCCTTCTTGGAATGGCAAACACAAGGGTGCTTTGGCAGCCTTTCCTCAAATGATTTCCTTTCAAATTGTGAGACAAGTCTCAGCATTAATCCAAAATGAATGAGAATATATATGATGCCAAGTGTTCCCATCTCCTTGAATTGAGACTATTGGGTGTGTGTAATTTCATAAAGACAGATATGTATTTATAAGTACATATAATATAGTCC